GCTTCACTCTGCCCTCAAATCTCCCATAATAATCTCTCCTGTGTTCTATTCTACCTAGCAACACACAGGGAAGGGAATTCTGGGAAAGGTAATTCAGCCTAGCCGAGTTGACACATTATAAGTCACCACACTACCCATTCATTGAATCGGTGGCATTCACCCCTTTGTAGAGAAGATAGAAACTACCTAGAACAAAGGTTTTGTTTTCAGCTTCAAGCCTCCAAGCAAAATTATTATTCAATTCCTTAGCGAAACAACTGTCTAAATAGTTCACTTTTTTTTTCTTTTTTCCTAGGTGGGGGTGAGAAGACACATGCATGCCTGAGGAAGGTGCACAGGCACACAGGGGAAAAGGGCAATGCCACCCGAGACCCTGCGAGGTATCTTGCCTCTATGTTTCATTTGCTTCACCTCTGTCTGTATGTCAGCAGCCAAACATGTATGCATCAGGGCATGGAAGCCTTGAGAGCGGGCCATCATCAAGCCAAAGATGTCTCTGTGAATCAACTCCTTGGTCTCAGGCCCTGCAATTCGGCTCCTGATGTCACCCTGAACCCCTGAGAGACCCTCAGGGGGACTGGGCCCCCTCTGCCTAACAGCCACTGCCCTCCAGGGTAACACACCCGTTCTTTGCACATACTAAAAAATTCACCTTTATTCACAGAGAAAGGGACTCTCTAAATTTCTTGTTATATCAAATTCAATGCATTAAAGTCTGAATATGGAATTTTGCCACAATGCAGGGACAATCAAGAGACGACTCAGAAAATACATAAGAGGGACACTCTCCAGGAGGAAGAAAGTCCCTCTGGTTTAGTGGAAACAAGGAATCAGACATGCATGTATTTCAAGGTAAAATCTCATGGGGATGGGGTTGACGAGAATGTTGAGAGTAGAGTAGCTTTTCCAAATTATTGGAAAAGATTATCCTTTAGGATGCTCCCCCTCTCCCAATATGGGGGGAGGGGTGATCCCAGCAGAATAAAACATGGTAACGTGTCATAATTAGAGAAAAGAGTTTAGTCATCATTCCTGACCTGCTCTCAGCTCTTACGTCTAGTTCAAGACATAGAACATTCTCACATGCTCTGGGGGACTTGAGAGCAAGGGGACCCCACTGTAAAGGCAACAGAATAGACAGATGAAGGATGTGGCTGAGGCTTAGTGGGTATAGTGGCATCATCAAGGGAGAAATTAGAGACTCTCTAGCTATAGACACCACAGTAGACACCAATGCAAGAGACCCAGGAGCCAACATCAGACATCCGGAAGCAGGGATGACTAAGAATATAAAAAACAAAATTTGAATGCAAGCAATCTTTCCCCCATTGCCTTTAGGGCAACCCCTCCTACCACTATCACTTATGAATCTACCCTATAGATTGAGTAGAATGAGAAAAAGACAATCTGCAAGATACAGCATTTATTTGAAAGAGACTTTACCAAAGAAGAAACGGAAGTACCATTAATTGTCAAGGTAAAGACTTTCCCTGCTATACATTGGGTTGGAGGCTCAAGAAGAATGTTTAATTGCAGAAAAAATTTAAAACTACATTTTCCTTGCAAAATAAGTGTAAATGTGCCATCTTCTTACTTTACCACAAGAGAAGCCAGCCTGAAGACAAAGAGCAGAGTGAAGAGAATTCGAGAAAAATAGAACAAGAGCCCTGCCTGATCAAAACTTGCAAGAAACCTGCTGAACCCCTGGGTTAATGAGACAATCAACTTCTCTTATTGCTAAATCTAGTTTGTGTGGGGTTGTCTATTACTTAAGATCTTCATTAGGCTTAAAGATAAGCAACTTAAATCAGCCAGTAAGTCAAAGTTGGGAATTGAATGTAAAATGTCTAACATTCAAAATTTGACTCTTAATCACTGTACCATAATACAAAGCTCAAATGCCATTCCCTCTGTGGTGTTTGCTGTACCTGCAACTGCTTGCTACTCAAGGTATGGTCCGAAGACTGGCAGAATTGGCATCACCTGGGGGCTTCTTAGGCGAGCAGATCTTAAGGCCCCACCCACCCCAGACATACTGAATCAGAATCTGCATTTTTAACAAGATTCCCAGATGATTCGTAGGTACATTAAAGTTTGAGAAATACTGCTTTAAGACACTCTTTTCTTTGGGTTCTTACAGCATGTTCCTTATTCATTGCTAGTTACGTACTCTTCTATCTCCTCACCAAACCTGTGATACCCTTGAAGACAGGAAATATGTACTGCTATTTTTTATATTCTAACCACTTGTGATGAAAACTGCTAATTGACCACCAAAATCATTCTTTCAGTCTTACTGGGTATGTTGCTAATCTACATTTCCCAGCCTGCTTTGCGGTTAGGTATGGCCATGTGATAAAGTTCTCTCCAATACAACATAACCAGAAATACTGTGTACCACTTCTGGGCCCAGGTCTCAAAACTGTGGGTATGCTCTCTCTTTTTCTCCTTTCCTTTGGCTGGAATCCACTGGAACCCAGTCTTGATTATGCAACAAGATACTGGAGAATTACAGAGTGAGTATCTCGAAGGAACCCAGATGTCTGAATAATTGTGTGGAGCAGAGCTACCCTAACAAACTGAATCACTCACCTTGTAACAGTTACACAAGGAAGAAATAATTGCCTATGTTCTCTAGGCCACTAATTTATGGTAGAGGCTTTTTGATATGGCAGGCTACTCTTACCCTAAATAACTCACAACTCCATCTTATAATAGACCTCAGCTTATAATGATTCCCCCTGTTGGGGGAGAATGGCCTCAGATACACACAGACAAGACCTCAGCAGCCATTTCTGCACTATGTGATCCTAGTCATAGGTGACTGCTCCAGGAGTAGATCTCTTACCCAAACTGCACCACTTGCATTTTTCCCTCCAAGAGATTTGCAATTCTGAACTGAGACACAGGCTGAGAAAAATTGGAGCTGAGTCATGTTAATGGAAAGTCTTTAAAGCTGCACTGTACAATACAGGAGCCACTAGCCACATGTGGCTATTTGAATTTAATTAAAATAAAAAATTAGGGGCCCCAGTTGCACTAGCTACATTTTATGTGCTCAATAGCATTCGTTGCTAATGGCTACCATATTGGACAAAGCAGACATAGAACATTTCCATCATCACAGAAATTTCTACTGGATAGCATTGCTTTAGAGAGAAAGTCTATGATCTGTCCTGGCTGCAGTACTTCCTAAGAACTCGTTATTGAAATCATTCCTTAGATTCTGTGGGATACTCCACACTCCCTACAATAAATTCCTTCTCTTGCTCAAGCTAGTTAGATTTGATTTTACTACCTGCTACCTAAAGGACCTAGGTTATTATATATCTTGCACTATAACTATGAAACACCAAATCTGATGGGGGAATTTTCGAGCTTATTTCTATTTCACTTTACTCAGACTTTCACATGGTTGACCACTCCTTCCTAGACTCTTCCCTCCTAGGCTTTCATGCTTTCCTGACACCACTTTTTTGGTTCTCTTCAGCCCTCTGATGCTCTCATAAGAAGTGGTCTTCTCCATTAAACCCTTATTCATCAATGTATATTAAAGAGAGGTGACCTTTAAAAAAGTGCAGGGCAGGCTGATGAAGAGACAGATGGTTAGGTTACATGTTCTACATCTACAGTTCTCCCATTGGGCTTCTGAACCATGACTCTAATTGCTCACCTGCAAGTCCACAGGCACCACAAAATGAATGTGCTTCAAATTGAACTATTCCTTGTTGAAAACCTAGCTTAGATACTTCTGACCTGCCCATCTCCCAGAGAGAAAAAAATGTGTTCTATGCATACTGCTATCATGAAATTTATCACTGCACTGTAATTTAAGTGTCTATGAATCTCTTTTGAATAGGAACAGCATCGTTTTCCTCTCTTTACACCTAGCATCATGTTTGACACATGACACATAATAGGAATCCAATAATTTCTATTTTAGCCAATTGTAGGCATTCCCATGAAATTTTAAAGAATAAATGTGCACAACAGTCAACTCCAGAATTGCACCAATACCTCTAGGTCTGATGGCCACACAGCAAAGTCAGACACAGTTATCCTATTGTTATCACATCTGAAGACCTAGAAATGGGAACACAAAATTGTGGGAATAAGTTAGGATTTCTTTGTTCTGCTTCAGACTTCTTGGGCTAACTCCAGCAAGATTTATGTAAGATGTTTGTGATTTGAGTAGCCTTGGACCACTTCAGTTCTATAACCTTCGACGTAAATGGTGCTAAGTGGTAATTATCCCAGCTGCCACTTATCCCACACCGAGACACAGGGAGAGTTGTGATTTACGATGCTGTGGGAAGTCCTCCTGCCCAGTACCCTTTGCTTGCCAAGATAAACCAATCTGATAACGATATCTTTCTATTTGAGAGGGCTGAGCGATTTACTCAGCAGAACATACCTAGCCTAGCCAAAGGTAACAAGCCAAAATGCTTTCAAACACCAGGCCAGTGACATCAGTGAGTGAAGAGGAGGGCGGCTAGGGAACGGAAAGCTTGCCCCTGCTTAAGGCATACAAATTTAAGCTACAGAAAAATGCTTTTCCAGACCAAATATAGATCTCGAGCTGCGTGTTCTTGCCCCCTGTTTCCAGACCGTGCGCAGGAGCGGGACAGGAGCGAAAACAGTGCTGTGAATAAACAGAAGTCACTAGGAGTGTGAGTACAGAAACGCTTTCCTTAGCGCTTTAAGTTGCCCACTTGATCCGTAGAGGGCAGTGTACAACCCGTTCATTCCCAGGTCTCTAGAGGTCTCCACTAGGGTGCTGACATCCCGTGATTTACATCTTAGTCGGTTACTAAACGCTTTCCTGTAGAGCGCCGCGCATCGCCTGGGCACTCAAAGGCGAGTGTCTGAGGAACGCACGGGGGCGGTGAACACAGAAGGACCCGCGGAAGCTTAGGAGGAGACCGGGAACGTGAGGAGGAGCGGCCGAGGGAGGGGACGCGGGACCACTGAGAGGAAGGGGCGGGGGGGAACCCGAGGAGACCCGGAGGATAAGAGGAGGGAGGAGCACGTCCAGCTTCCCGCCCGCGCTCCCGGCCGGCTCGGGGCAGGCGCACTGGCGCTGCTCGCTCGCGTCCCCTCCCCCACCTCCGCCGTCGCCAGGGCGCAGGCTCGCGTCTGCGCCGGCGGCTGGGCCCTCGGCAGTCACCCTCTGGTCTCTGCCGGCTTCGCCTTCTGCCTTCTCCCTCCCCGGACGGGCCGGACCCTGGCGGAGGTAACTGCCCGCAGATTCCTGCCCCTCACGGCCCCAGCCTCTTCCCCACGCTGTCTGGCCCGCGGGGTCCTCGGGCTCCTTCGTCCCCCTCACCCCCTCTAGTGTTGCGCGCTCGCGACCTCCCCAGCCCCGCCATACCCCGCCGCACCCAGCCCCCTTGTCCTTTACCACTTCCCCGTCCCCCAGCTTCCCCGGGGTCGTCCTCCGGCCGCCGCACCCTCAGCCTGACGGAGGCTCGGCGGCTCCAGGGGCCCGGGTCGCCCTCCGGATGGCTGGGAACGGCGTCCGGTTCGGGCCAGACCTCGGCCCCGCACCGGGGTCCTGCAGCTCCCGCCCTGTCTCGGGTGGGCACCACGGTGGCACCTCTCGGGGCAGAGGGCGGCGCTGCCCCGCAGGGTCGGGTAGGGAATCTCAGAGGGGTCCCCTGGGGATGACTTGTGCGAAGTGGGGAAGCTCCTGTGTTTGACCTTAGTGGGTGATAAATTGAGCACGGAGGAATGGACGCGATTTTTTAGACTCGTCTGTGGTGGAAACCACAGAACAACTTGGATTTTTCTCTCTTTTTTTTTTTTAATTGAGCAGAGCTCCCTGAGCTATACAGTAGGTCCTTGTTGGTTATCCATTTTAAATATAGCAGTGTGTACATGTCAGTTGGATTCTCTTGAAACTGCTTTCGCCAATGTGTTTTTTTGTTTGTTTTGCAGTACGCGGGCCTCTCACTGTTGTGGGCTCTCCCGTTGCGGAGCACAGGCTCCAGACGCGCAGGCTCAGCGACCATGGCTCACGGGCCCAGCCATTCCGCGGCACGTGGGATCTTCCCGGACCGGGGCACGAGCCCGTGTCCCCTGCATCGGCAAGTGGACTCTCAACCACTGAGCCACCAGGGAAGCCCCTCTTGTTTTAATTAACATAATTACAAAAGTCAAAACTATACAGAGGACTTCCTGGATGGTACAGTGGTTAAGAATCCGCCAGCCAATGCAGGGGACACAGGTTCGATTCCCGGCCCGGGAAGATCCCACATGCCGCGAGCAATTAAGCCCGTGCACCACAGCTACTGAGCCTCTCTTTGTATATATATGTGTGTGTGTGTGTATATATATGTGTATATATATATATATATATATATATATATATCCTTTTCTCCATACACATACGTATACATCATTTATCCTAGAGTTTCTTACATTCTGAATTTGGTTGATTTTATTCTCCTGGTGTGTTTAATATGTTCCTTCATTCTCTTTATTTCTTGTCAGCTGGTAGTTTGATTCAGACACAGATTCAGGTTCAGTTTTTAATTTTCTTTCTTTGTAAGAATATTTCAGAGATGGTTGTGTGTACTTCCTGTCTACAAAGCATCATGTCACGGGGAATATAATGTCTATTTGTCTCACTGTTAGTAATTTTAAGATTGATTAGTGGCAGCCGCATAGTACAGGGAGATCAGCTCGGTGCTTTGTGACCACCTAGAGGGGTGGGATACGGAGGGTGGGAGGGAGACGCAAGACGGAAGAGATTTGGGGACATATGTATAGCTGACTCACTTTGTTATAAAGCAGAAACTAACACACGATTGTAAAACAATTATACTCCAATAAAGGTGTTAAAAAAAAAAAAAGATTCGGGCTTCCCTGGTGGTGCAGTGGTTGAGAGTCCGCCTGCCGATGCAGGGGACACGGGTTCGTGCCCCGGTCCGAGAAGATCCCACGTGCCGCGGAGCGGCTGGGCCCGTGAGCCATGGCCGCTGAGCCTGCGCGTCTGGAGCCTGTGCTCCACAATGGGAGAGGCCACAACAGTGAGAGGCCCGCGTACCGCAAAAAAAAAGAAAAAAAAAAGATTCTTTAGTGGGTTTAGGGCTTGTCAGTCCACTTGTTATAGAGTTCCCCATCTATCTTCACCTAATAGTTTTAGCAGCCACTGATACTATTGACTAGATCTGTTATTTCATTGGGAGCTGCAGATGATGCTTTTCTAATGCCATTATTCCTCTTGCATTTGGTTAGCGCTTTTTAAAGAATTAATTTTATTTATGATTTTAATATTTATATTTAAAAATTTAAAAATAAATATTTGAAATTATTTATTTATTTTAAATAAATTACTTAAAAATAAAGTGTCTAAGGAAGTAGTCATCTGGAATATTACTGTTATGAGGAATTGAAAAACATAACGTTACAGTATAAAATATGAGGATGGTTAGCATCTTAATAGGTCATTCTGTGCTGTATTTGAATAGTCTTTCATTTAAAGCTTATTTTATTTTTAAAAATTCAGCTATTATTAAAGATGGCATTAATAATACCAAATAAATTCAGTTTTTTGGATTTTATAAACTAAAAAGAATTAGGAAGATAGAATTTTTTTAAAAAAGAAAGAATAAGGCTATAAAGTGGTCTGAAGTGACCTCTAAAAATGGTTCGCTATTCCCTTGACCCAGAAAACCCCACAAAATCATGCAAATCAAGAGGTTCAAATCTTTGTGTTGTTTTTTTTTTTTTTTGCGGGACGCGGGCCTCTCACTGTTGTGGCCTCTCCCGTTGTGGAGCACAGGCTCCGGACGTGCAGGCTCAGCGGCCACGACTCATGGGCCTAGCTGCTCCGCGGTATGTGGGATCTTCCCGGACCGGGGCACGAACCTGCGTCCCCTGCATCGGCAGGCGGACTCTCAACCACTGTGCCACCAGGGAAGCCCTTTGTGTTCACTTTAAGAACACTCAGGAAACTGCCCAGGACATTAAGGGTATGCATATCCGAAAACCCACCAAGCGTCTGAAGGATGTTACTTTAAAGAAGCAATGTGTGCCATTTCATTGTTACAGTGGTGGAGTTGGTAGGTGTGCCCAGGACAAACAGTGCAGCTGGATGCGGGGTCGGTGACCCAAAAAGAGTCTTGAATTTTTACTGCAGATGCTCAAAAATGCTGAACTTAAGGGCTTAGATGTAGCTTCTCTGGTCACTGAGCACAACCAGGTGAACAAAGCCCCCAAGATGTGGCACAGGATTTACAGAGCTCATAGTCGGATCAACCCATACATGAGCTCTTCCTGCCACATTGGGATGATCCTTACTGAAGAAGAACAGATTGTTCCTAAACCAGAAGAGGAGGTTGCACAGAAGAAAAAGGTATCCCAGAAGAAACTGAAGAAACAAAAACTCCAAAAAAAAAAAAAAAAAAAAAAAAAAAAAAAAAAAAAAAAAAAAAAAAAAAAAAAAAAAAAGGAATAAGGCTATGATTAAATACAATCCAGGCCAATGACCAAATGCCATCATTATTCAAGATTTCACAATATTAAAAATTTTAAAAAGACTCAATTTGGAACAGTCACAAACTTAACACGAAAATTCAAATAGAGTACAAAGAATTTTTTTTCATGAACCACTTGAGAGTGACAACTGATGTTCTCTTACCCCTGAATATTTTAGTATCTACTTTCTACAGACAGGGACATTTGCCTACATAACTGCAAGACAACCATCAAAATCAGAAAATTAACATTCATCTATTACAACCATCTAATCCTCAGTTTTTCTTCCTATTCAGGTTTTTCCAGTTGTCCCATATTGTCCTTTATAGTGAAAGGATAAAATTTACAATTACTGACTGCATTTAGTTGTCAAGTTTCCCGTTTGGAACCAGTTCCTCAATCTTTTTAAAACTTTCATAAACTTGAAACTTTTGAAGGTTACAGATCAGTTATTTTGTAAAATGTCCCTCAGTTTGGGTTTGCCTGATATTTCCTTGTGATTAGATTCAGGTTGTGTTCCTCTGTACATATGTCACAGAGATGTTTTTCTCATTTTAACTATTAGGTGGCACGTGATTTCCATTTGTCCCATTCTGATAATTTTCATTTTGATCACTAGACAAAATGGAATCTGCCTGGTTTCTTCATTGTAAAGTTACTTTTTCTCTTTTGTAATTAATGAGTATTTTATAGGGAGATATTTTGAAACAATGTAAATATACCATTTTTCATCAAATGTTCAATTTATTAATTTACTTATTTATAATTATATGGATTCATGGTTTCCTATTTTATTCCATGGATTTTATTATTTATTGATTGATTTATTGATTTATTGATTGATTGGCGGTACACGGGCCTCTCACTGTTGCGGCCTCTCCCGTTGCGGAGCACAGGCTCCAGACGCGCAGGCCCAGTGGCCATGGCCCACGGGCCCAGCCGCTCCGTGGCACGTGGGATCCTCCCGGACCGGGGCACGAACCCGTGTCCCCTGCATCAGCAGGCGGACTCTCAACGACTGCGCCACCAGGGAAGCCCCCTATTTATTATTTTAAAATATTTATTTATTTATTATTTTGGCTGCGCCAGGTCTTAGTTGCGGCACGCAGGATCTTTAGTTGTGGCATGCGAACTCTTAAGTTGTGGCACGCATGCGGGATCTAGCTCCCTGACCAGGGACTGAAACTGGGCCCCCTGCATTGGGAGCGTGGAGTCTTACCCGCTGGACCACCAGGGAAGTCCCTATTCCATGGATTTTAAATCCATTAATGTAATTGTTTTGATGCTCAAATTGTCCTCAGTTTGGTCTATGGGATCCCTTTCATTATGGCTTCTGTGTCCTCACTGTGCCTGGCTCCAATACACTGTGCCAGGCTCTTCCACTGCGTGAACATCCTCCCAAGATTCACTCAAGAATGGACCATTCACCCAAGATTATGTATGCTTCCCTCACCCAAATAGGGCTCTGACAAACTGTTCATGGCCTCTACCACAACTATCCCCACAACCAGCATGGGGACTTGCTGGGCATCTTTACTTCATATTATCTCAGGGCTTCATTTTTACGTCAGCTAGTTTGGACTTTCTTACAGCTCTGTGACTTAGGGCAGTTTGACTGTTTATGTGGTGATTGAAGGCTTCAAGAGTGATTATTCCATAGAGTAAGGTAAAAGTTGTATTGCCTTATATGAGCTAGCCTTGGGAAGTGCACCGCATCACTTCCATTTTACTCTTGGTCAAAGTAGTAAAAAACCACCCAAATTCAAGGGATGAGGCGTAGACCAGAGCTCTCAATGAGAGGAGTATCAAAGTCATAGTGTAAGAAGAGCATATGGGATGGGAGGTATTTTTGTGGCCATCTTTGGAAAATACAACCTGCCACACTGAGAAAATCAAATCACATAGAAACTATATTGTCAAGATGTTCTCCTAGTTCATGTTTATCTTCATAGTCTGAGAAATAACTTGTCGAAAAGCAAATACATTTTGTCTGACTATTCAAGATGAGATACTGAATAAATTGTCAGCATCTTACCTTAAAAAGAGTTAACTTGAGCTGATGAAAAAGTAATCTACTAAAACTTTATGAAAATTCTAAATTAAGATCCTCAGTAAGTATTATGGGCTATTATCATTTTTTTTTGTTTTGATTTTTACAGCATCTTGTGACCTTTGACTTAATTGGTCATTGATATCTCAGCAAGCATGGAGATAAGATTAGAAGTTTTGACTTCAACGAGTATCAAGCAGAAAAAACCCTGGCCACGAGTCTCCTGGTTGGGACAGGTAGGTTTTTCTTTAATCATACAATATCAGTTCTAATATGTGTTAACTGTGTGCTTTGCCTCTAAGATCAAAGAATGTTCTGTGGCCTTCACAAAATACAGTATCATCTGTAGAAGGATCACCTGCCTACTGAGCAGGGTTTTGTGTATTTGTGTGGTAACAGGCTGGCAGAGATGGGGAGGGAGCATCAGTCTTTCTGTGGCCTAATCAGAGTTGCCACCACTCTCATCACTCTTGCTCCTTTTCTCCATAAACTTGCTTAATCTTCTTCACAGTCCTCTGTTGCTTTGCTCTTGGAGACCTGGGATGATGTATCATCCTCACTGTCATCTGCTGTGCTCTCCTGGGAGTGCTGGGACGTAATTTCTTCACCCTGCAAGTCCCAGTTTTTGAGATTGCACAGCCAGAAGACCTCTCTGCAATTGTTGAGGATGAGCATGGCTTTCACTCTGCAAACTAACAGCTACAGGGTCTTTTTGAGCAAAAGCACACGTTTGGTGAGTTTCGTGTCCTGGTGAATCTTGGAATGCCCACACAGGTGATGAAGCAGCGTGGTGTCCAACTGGAAGGTTTCCAGTAAGCTCAGATCATTTTCTCGATGTTTTCTAAAACTGAAGTCTAGGAGCAGCATGACACTGCTTCAGAAATGAGAAGCCATGTCTATTTTAATCTAAGTAGGTAATTTAAAACTTACCCATACTACTGTTCAGATTGATGAGATAACAGCAGGTAACTCAGTTTGGGCTAGCAGAATTGGAAGACACTCCTGTAATTTTAAACTCCAAAGAAATATCAGTGCAACTGTTAGGTCATCCTACCTAGTAATTCTAGTAAGAGGTACTTTAAGATAGAATGAAAAATCTTCAGGTTACAAATATACAATCTTTCTTAAATGTCACTTTGTTTTCTTTTCTGGGATAACTTACTTAGGTAAGAGGCTGAATTAACTTCTGGCATCTCTTAAGTCTGTCTCTCACATGTTTCTTCTCTTAGGAAAATGAAGCTGTTTTTCTTTTGGATGATAAATTCATAAATGAACTTAATTTGCTATCAGGAAGGACAAAGAAGAAAATTCCCAGTCTCCAGCCTTTGTTGAAGGATGTTACAGTCCTAACAACGTCCAGTAATGGTTAAGTAGTACTGATATTTTCAAAAGACTAGATTAACTGTATTTTTAAAAATAATTTTGGGAGTAATATTAAGGGAAATGTTACATTATAAGTATTGCGTTTCCTTTTTGGAAGCAGATGCCTGGCTGGCTGGGGTACTTGCTACAGGGGAGCTTTTCCTCTGGAACAAAGATCAAGATTGTTTGAAAACTATACAAGCAACTGAAAAGCCTAAAGAAATGATTAAAGCTGCAGTAGGTGGGAGATTTTTATTTGTTTAAATTGGTTTAACTTGATATATAGGAGAAAAGAAATATATCTCTGTGTAAATATATATATCTGTATATATATGTATTTTTCCTTATATCTGTAAGTATTTTTTTGGTGGTTATTTGTGACAATTAGGTTCATCTTGAAGAAGAAAAATCTGGCATGCCTTACATATCTGTGATAACAGTGGGTTCCTAATATCACATATGAGTACATGATAAATGTTATTATAATTTGTACTTTTAGTTTATTACTAGTGCCTTAGTTTTACATTCTAAATGGAAACATCATTTAGGTTCCTTATTGTCAGAATAGATAAAATTTGTACTTTTTTATGGGAATTCAGACTTCAGAGGTGTAATTACTTTTTTTTGTTGTTTTCTAGCAAGCTCTTTGAGACTGTACGTGTATGTATCTGGCAATGGGAAAAGAGTTCTGCTTATAACTCCTTCTGGATGCATATTTCTTTGGGAATATTTGGAATTCAAGAATATCTTATCTTCTAAAAGCCCTTCATTGGTGGGCCAATGGTCCCAGATCACACCTGAAGAAGCAGTTCATTTGCCTTCCACTGAAGATAAAGAAGCTGTAGTGCATGCTGTCTTTATAAAAAATGAGGTAAAATCCAAATCAGGCAGGGTATTATAGAAGTGGTGGAGATCTCAGACTCTAAGAACAGACACCATCTGGGAAGCTGTTGAGCAGAGTGTGTAATGGCATAGCTGTATATCTCCAGGCATCATTAATTGTCATAGTAATGGTGAAATTATCACGGAAAAGGTATTTTTATATTTCTTGGTCACATTTTAAAAGATGTGTATTAAAAATGGTTTGAACTTAGAGCTTCCTAGTTATACTTTTCCCTAGTTTTAGAATATAACTAGTTTTGTAATAAAGAGAAAAACAAATATCGTATATTAACGCATATATGTGGAATCTAGAAAAATGGTATAGACGATCTTATTTACAAAGCAGAAATAGAGACACAGATGTAGAGAACAAATGTATCGATGGATACCAAGGGGGAAGGGGGTGGTGGGATGAATTGGGAGATTGGGATTGACATATATACACTTCTAAATATAAAATGATAACTAATGAGAACCTATTGTATAGCACAGGGAACTCTACTTGGTGCTCTGTCGTGACCTAAATGGGAAGGAAATCCAGAAAAGACGGGATATATGTATACATGTGGCTGTTTCACTTTGCTCTACAGCAGAAGCTGACACAGCAGTGTAAAGAAACTATATTCCAATAATAAATAAATATTTGTTGGATTTTTAAAAAAGCTAGAATTAGTGATATTAAGTAAGCCATTTAATTCCCAGGAAATAACACGTTCATTAACTAAAAGCATTCAGAATAGCTGCATGATACTCTTTGTATGTATGGACCAACATTTTATTACCCAATCTACTATTGTTGGAAATTGCATTTTGAACTTTTGTTGTTTTCCTCCACCCGCATGGGTAGTGCCCTAACTTAAATAATATGTAACTATAGGGACTTCCCTGGTGGTCCAGTGGCTAAGAATCTGCCTTCCAATGCAGGGGACGTGGGTTCGATCCCTGGTCCCACATGCTGCAGGGCAGCTAAGTCCGAGAGCCACAGTTACTGAGCCTGTGCTCTCTAGAGTCCATGAGCCACAACTAGAGAAAAGCCCGCACACTGCTATGAAGATCCTCATGCCACAACTAAGGCCCAACACAGCCAAATAAATAAAATAAATTAATTAAAAATAAATAAATAATATGTAACTGTAAAAGAAGAGAAAAATAAATATATTAGAATATTTCCAGTTGTAGCCAGAGTAAAGGCCGTGTTTTCTTAAGAGAGTAAACTGCACCTTGATTTCCCATTTGAGATATGCCTGTGGCTCAGAAATTAATTACTTAGTCTTTAGCTTAATGTTCAGCTACATGTTATAAGAGTAAACATATGAGCAGGCTCTTGATATGTTTCATTTATTTTATTTATGATGAGAAATATGTGGGGGTTTTTTGTTTGGTTGTTTTTTTTTGCTGTTCTTTCAGGGATTAGTTTATTTATAGTTTAGTTAGTTTATTTTATTTTTTTCCTTGTTGGTTATTTATTTTAAACATACCAGTGTGTATATGTGAATCCCAAACGTCCTAACTATTCCTCCTCCCCACCCTTATCCCCTGGTAACCATAAATTAGTTCTCTAAGTCTGTGAGTCTGTTTCTGTTTTGTAAATAAGTTCATTTGTATCATTTTCTTTGATTCCGCATATAAGCTATATCGTACAATATTTCTCTTTCTTTGTCTGACTTCACTCAGTATGACAATCTCTAGGTCCTCTTGATTTATTTTCAGATTAATTATATACTAAAGTATATTAAATTTATCTACAGTTATTTGGAGACTGCTGCTTGTGTTCATTTACTTTCTATTCCGGGGAATGCCTGAAGTTAACATTTCTAGCAATTCGGTGGCATGAAAATGTATTTACATCTATAAGGTGAGGTAAATGTTTCCTTCTTCCTACTTTTCTATCTGCTTTTTTTTTTTTTTGGCCGCTCCATGCAGCATGTGGGATCTTAGTTCCCCTATCAAGGATTGAACCTGTGCCCCCTGCATTGGAAGCATGGAGTCTTAACCACTGGACCGCCAGGGAGGTCCCTCTATCCCTTTTAAAACATTGTTATCTTTTGGCCCATAAATACGTAACAAGATTAGTAAGTGAAATGTGAATATCAACTTCTGAGGCTTTACAAATTCTTTCTTCCTGTAAGTATTGTTCTGTTTCTTTACTTTTCATTTTGAATGTCTATTATAGAAAGTTTTTCTTGTTTTTATTTTGTTTCCCTTCTTGGAATCAAGAACACATAAAAGGTAAGGCAGACAGACTATTTTCTTACTTGTCTTAAGACTATAAAAATAACTCCTTTGAAAAGTAATTCAGTTGAATTTTTTAAAAATAAATTTATTTATTTATTTTTGGCTGCATTGGGTCTTTGTTGCTGCACACAGGCTTTCTCTAGTTGCAGCGAGCGGGGGCTGCTCTTCGTTGCGGTGCATGGGTTTCTCATTGCAGTCTCTTCCCTTGTTGCGGAGCACGGGCTCTAGGTGTGCGGACTTAAGTAGTTGTGGCTCGTGGGCTCAGTGGTTGTGGTTCACAGGCTCTAGAGTGCAGGCTCAGTAGTTGTGGTGCACAGGCTTAGTTGCTCCGCCGCATGTGGGATCTTCCCAGACCAGGGCTCAAACCTATGTCCCCTGCATTGGCAGGCGGATTCTTAACCACTGTGCCACCAGGGATGTTCCAAATCAATTGAATTTTGAAAAGGAAATAACTTGAATTTACTACTGTACTTTTTAAATGCTCAAGTATTTTTTCAATTAAAAGTAATTTTAGTTATTTTAAAAAGCCCAATGAAATAGAAAGAATGCGTTAAAAGCATATAGTGACTAAGATTTAGTAAAATAGCGAGTTTTTTTTTTTCTGTTTATTTATTTTTTATGCTAGCAGTACTCTATTTGGGTGTAATTTATATAAAGTAAAATGAACAAATCTTAAATGTACAACTAGGTGGACTTCGATAAATGTACATATGCCTGTAACCATCCTCATATCAAATATAGAACATTGTCACTATCCTAAAAATCCCCTCTTCTCACCTATTTAATACCTGTAAAAATGTTTGTAATAATGTAGAAATATGTGTATCTAAACTTTTAGTGGATGCAGATGTTTTTGGGGCTGGCTACAGAACATGCCATTATTAACAAAACTCTGATATGGACCTTGTTTAACTAGCAATTGCTCTTTTGTGTCCTGGATGAAACTTGTGAACAGTTGCTACAAGACCCCAAATATATGTGCACATGTACGAATTTAGTTGGACCCTTTAATTTTTTGTAATGAAGTGTATATTAATTTAAAAGTTACTATACTTTCTGTTTTCAATTATTTCACTACTTAGATCATTGACATACCATGTTCAGTGGGCACAACAAGATTGCCTTCTGTGCAGTCTGATTCCTAAATGTGAATCAGTAAAGTCAAGAGGAGCTCTAATTTCTGCATTTTCAAGAGATGGCATTACCCTGGCAGTAACTCTTAATCAGAAAGACCCAAAGGTCAGTAAATATAATCTATCTTGGAAATAACCTGTAAAAGAGAGAGTTTAGTTCAGTTTTGAGATTTTTTTCCCCCTGAGTATAGTTTTTTTCCTTAATATTACTTTATATTCTTTAAATTGGTGTTTTCTGATCCACCTCGGCATTGTAAATTGGTAAAGTTATTTACGTTAGCTGCCGTAATTTTCAGAATTTGGCCTTCAGAGGTGAAAAGAGGATAATGGAAAAGGAAGAAAGAAGGGCAAAGTGGTAACTGATATTCTTAAAATGTAGTATAAAAGAGAGAAAAGTTATAGGTGGTCAGTATTATCTTGCCAGTTGGCAAAGAGTAGGTAGTTCATTAATATAATAGATCTCTAGGTCTTCAGAATTATAAGTAAAATAATTTTAATGGTTTTTTTTAATCTTTTTTTTTTCTTTCTAGGCAACTCAGGTATTATTTATAAACACACTGAATTTTGTTACACTCTGTGGTAGCCTTAAAGGATGTAGTAATAAGAATCCTGTGGTTCCAGCTACACTTATCAGGTAAGGGTTCTTTTGTATTTCTAAATAGTGTTTTTATTTTCTTTTTTAATAGTTTAACAAGTTTAAGGCACTGGTAATTCAGTAGGTGTCTAAATAGATATTTAGATAGATGATGTTATCTTGGGAGGAGTTGAATTATGACCGGGTAGAGAAATACTGGGCTAAGTTAGAGAGGCTGAAATGAAAAAACCTGGGTTGGGAAGACCATTATATACTCAGGCTGAGGTGTTTCTAGCTTTTTAAACAAAGTTAGCATTCCCTGCATACGGGTGGATAGTACCATAAGTGGTGATTTTGGATGGCACGTGGACCTATGGAGGATTATAGAGTAGGAAAATTTCCTCTTGGATCCTCCTAAGTTCCTATTCTGAATTGTTTTCTCTGCTGCTCTCTGAATTTCCAAAGTTTTCAGGTTCATCCAGCCTTGCCTTTTTATTTTCTTTCTCTCCCCAAAATTTCCTTTCTAGAAGAATTACTAGTCTCAGTTCAGTGGTCTGTTTGACTTAGGGTGTCCATCATTCACATGAGGAGGAGCTACTTTTTTGTCTCCATGAAAGAAACATTAATATTATCAGATACTTAAGGAGTAGTAAAGATGGCTTTAGGAAGAGGGAGTCTGCTACCGAGTGGAGCTCTGGCAGGCTGCAGAGAAGACAGGCGTGGTATTGACCTTCAAATCTACCAGTAGATCTTAGTTTTGGACACCACTAGGATTAGAAGTTGTTCTAATTATAATGTAAGTGACAAAAACTTTACTTTGTTAGGTCTTATTTTCATCTTATGATTTGCTTATGAATCTAAGTAAATTTCTGATTTGTATGTTGTATGGAGTAGATGTTTATGAGCAAACTCCTTTTTTCTTACCTTTTTTTCTGGGAAGTAAAATACATGAAATGTATGTGACTTTTGCCTACTATTCATTCTTTTGACCTTATTTTTTGAAGCGTCTCACCCCTTCTTGGCCATTATAAATTGTCAAAGACATTGTAGAGAGTCCTTTCTAAACATATTGTCTTGCTTTTTCTAGGTCCTACTGGGTAGGTGATATCAGCTGGACTCATGATAGTCTTTTTCTGGCTTGTGTGTTAAAACGTGGCTCCCTGGTTTTATTGACCTGCCAAGGTGAATTGCTAACGTTAATTACATTTGGTTGCTCTATAGAATTTGGGCCAGCAGAATTTATTCCTCTTCACCCACTAATAACATATAGGTGAGACATTTGAATTGTTTTAATTTATTTACAGAAGTTTTTCTCTTTCGGTATTGCTTTACTGTGTATTTTTTTAATATAATTTCATCTTTCAAATTGTCTTATTCTTTCTTTGAGTCTGTCATCTCAATATCCGCTTCTTATTTATAGTTTTCTTCTGTTTCTTTTTGTGGCTTAATCCTGGTGAAAATTTGACATGGTGACTGTGTAAGTATATGTTATTTAAATATTCAGTAGCACTAAAAAAGTAACTTCTTTGATATAAAAATTAATAGAAGTGTGATATATCTTTTATTGTTTCAAAAGCAGAGCACTTAGATAAAAATTAACTTGGCATATGTATCTGCTTTTCTCCCAGAGGGAAAAAGGAGAAAAGTTGTTGAAAATGGGTAGTAGACTTTAGAATTTAGCCATATTTTACTTTTTAATTGTGAGATCATGAAGCATTTTGGCTTTGGAGTCAGAACAAGAGTCAAACCTTGCTTCTTCTACTTACTAGTTGTGTGACTTTGGGTAAGTTATTCTTAAGACTCTGTTTCTTTTACTGTGAAATGAAGATGATAGTAATAATCTCTTAGAGTTGAGGGAATGAAGTAAGATAATAAATAATTATAAATTGCTTTAACACAGTTCTGGCATAAAATAAGTGCTCAGTAAATATTTGCTGTTATTGATGTTGATATTATTATATATGGCTAGACACATATAGACACCTATTTACAAATCAGAAGCATTGGGAAAGGTCTTTGAAATTAATCCATTCCCTTTGCTGTATAGAAAAGAAACTGAGGAGGGATGTGTCCTTGATTATATTTAGCAAAAAGTTTTGCTTAATTTTTAGCAATAGAAAATTCTAATGGAAAAACTTGTCACTTTGTGCAGTGAAAGTGTTTTTCCTTATTTCTTATGGTCTGATTCATAATTGACTTAAATTTCCTCACATTTTCCTTTAAAATTAGTATTTAGGGCCTTTCAAAATGGATTGCTTTCTTTGATTACAAAAGTAATACATATTCATTGTTTTAAAAAAACTTAAAAATCAAATGTTACAAAACTAAATAATGTAGAAAGTGAGACTTGTAATCCTATTCCTCAGAGATAACAATTATTAGCATTTTA